TATCCAAGCAAAAGAATTCCCCCCCCCCCTTTTTTTTGCATTTTTTTTCCTTTTCTTTGCAAAAACTATTTATAACATAATAAATTATTATTATATCTATACGCCACCTCCTCGTTATTTATTTCATAATATAATACATGACGTTTGATCTAACTTCAGAAACCTGACCACCGACCATGCTCATAACTCACAATATCTATTAGGTTATACACAACCAATGTTGGTGTATTGACTAATCTCAGTGTTATATCTATTCACAAACGCTGTTGTAGCATTCATGAATGAAAGTAAAATTCATGAACCCATTCAAGCCGCCCGTAGTACGAGAATGTAAACAAACACAGGGTTGCCGCGAAAATGTAAACAAACACAGGGTTGCCGCTTCTACTGTCCACCGAAAATGGATATTCCAGTTAAAAGTACAGCCTAGTTAACTCTTATTGTTGTTAATCTCCTTAGTGTTGTTGATGTAACTGTTGATGTTTTTGATGTTGCTGACGTACTTGTTGATGATAAAAGTGTTGTTGTTGATGGGCTTGATGGGTTTGTTGATGTCCGTGTTGATGTACTTGTTACAGATGTGCGTGTTGTTGAAGTTGTTGACGTGTCTGTTGTTGTCGATGTGCTTGTTTTTGTTGATGTTCTTGTTATTGGTTTTGGTGATGTGCTTGTTGTTGTAGATGAAGTTGATGCTGATGACGTGCTTGTTGATGGTATGATTGTTGATGTGCTTGTTGTAGGTGATGCTGATGTGCTTGTAGATGTTATGATTGTTGTTGTGCTTGTTGATGATATGACTGATGTGCTTGTTGTAGGTGATGCTGTTGTGCTTGTAGATGTTATGATTGTTGATGTGCTTGTTGTAGATAATGTTGATGTGCTTGTAGATGTTATGATCGTTGATGTACTTGTTGTAGGTGATGTTGATGTGCTTGTAGATGTTATGATTGTTGATGTGCTTGTTGTAGATAATGTTGATGTGCTTGTAGATGTTATGATTGTTGATGTACTTGTAGATGTTATGATCGTTGATGTACTTGTTGTAGGTGATGCTGATGTGCTTGTAGATGTTATGAATGTTGATGTGCTTGTAGACGTTGATATAATCGTTGATGTGCTTGTTGTAGATAATGTTGATGTGCTTGTTGTAGTTAATATCGATGTGCTTGTTGTAGATGTTGATATGATTGTTGATGTGCTTGTTGTAGATGATGTGCTTGTAGATGCTGAAGTGCTTGTTGTTGTGGATGGTATTGATGTGCTAGTTGTTGCCGATGTGCTTGTTGATGATACAGTAACTGATGACGTACTTATTGATGTGCTTGTTGATGTCGATGTACTTGATATACTTGTTGATGTCACTGATGCTGCTGATGTGCTTATTGATGTACTTGTTGATGTACTTGGTGTCCTTGCTGATGTACTTGTTGATGTTGATGTGCTTTTTAACTTACTTGTTGATGTTGACGTACTTGTTGATGTACTTGTTGATGTACTTGTTGATGTCGACGTACTTGTTGATGTACTTGTTGATGTACTTGTTAATGTTGACGTACTTGTTAATGTACTTGTTGATGTACTTGTTGATGTACTTGTTGATGTACTTGTTGATGTTGACGTACTTGTTGATGTACTTGTTGATGTCGACGTACTTGTTAATGTACTTGTTGATGTACTTGTTGATGTCGACGTACTTGTTAATGTACTTGTTGATGTACTTGTTGATTTTGTTGAGGTACTTGATGATGACGTAGAAGTTGTTGATGTTGATGTCACTGATGCACTTGTCACAGATGTATTTGTTAATGTACTTGTTGTCGATGTACTTATTGATGTACTTGATGATATTGGCGTACTTGTTGATGTGCCAGTTGACATATTTGTTGGTAGCGATGTAGTTGTTAATGTACCTGTTGATGTACTTTTTAATGTCACTGTCCTTGTTAACATACTTGATTTTTTATTAGACGAATGATTTATGAAAGTACTTGTTATATTACTATTAGTATTTTTATGTGACATTGTGGTGTGCCATAGATATTTGAGTGAAATGGAACAAATAAACAAATGCATAAACAATTAAATTAATGATGATAACTATCCAAGCAAATGAAAAAATAAATAGATAAATAAATGAATAGAAAAATAAATAAATAAGTAAACAAATAAATTGATAAACGAATAAATAGATAAACAATAGAATTGATAAACAAAGAAATAGATAAATAAATAAATAGATATAAGTCCAGTAAATCCTATCTAGGCACTGCAGTCGTATTTTGCCGAGGCTTATCCGACACAATTAATGCAATTGTGCAATCATTGGCAGTAAGAAGTGCTGTTGATAACTGGCAATATAATATTGGTGAAAAAATAATACGAGCAAAAAACATTTTCTCAGTAAACATTCAGTTATTTATCCATTTGGTGCAGTTTTTTGTTTTATTCCTCCATACTCAGTTACCTATTTTTTGCTATATATCTAGGTATCTAACTATCT